AATTTCTAAATGTTTTAAATTTCTGTAATGTTTTTGATTCGTTGAGTTTCGGTATTATGGAGGAATTTGTGACCTGTTGACCTGTAGAAGCTAGCGCGTGTCAGCGGCTGCGTTAGCGAACTACAACCTCCCCCACATGCAGTTCGAGTCCCACTGAACTCTGCTGAGATGGATTTTGAAAAGTTGTAAGGTTAATGATGAGCCATACTCTACTGAAGTGTTTGCATGCCAACTAATTCAACTATCCTATCGTTATTTTGCTAAGTGTTAAAGGTAGCACTGTAAATAACTCGAAGTCAAGCTAATAGGAGTCGATAAGAAACTTAAACGTTAGCCAGGCGTTGCCCGAACTCGCTAATTCCTGCAAACATGAATCCCGTTATGTCGAGCCCCGAAAATTTTTGTTGTTGCTAATTCCGCTAAAAATAATACTAATTCTGCTAATAAAAATGAAGCTTATATATATACTAATTAAAATATACCCGTTCAAACCAAAATTTTACATGAAAAGTAGAATTTCCATTATCCTCGTTCCAAATATTAAGAAACTAATTTGCGATTATTACATTAAAATTGTAAATACCTATTCAAGAATCGAATTTAATTATAGATCCGATCCTCTTCTCCACGCTTTGCAATGATTCATTAGTATTTCACTAAGGATTAATTTTCAGATTCAGGAAAATCCCGGCACGATGAATACCATGACTACGCTCTCGAACAGCGCCATATACGAGGCGTGTTTTTAGGGTAAGTATTGTTTTCTAATTACGCCGCCTCATCGCTGGGACCACTGCTCATCTATGCGTGTTGTTACGTCTCGTGGAAAGTCACAGACGTCATTACAGTACCATCCAATCATGTCTACATGTTTATGCGATTTTAAAATGCCTCCACCTACTGAGAATCCCGCTGACTGTGAAGTACGTGGGATTCTTTGTTCTCATGGCTTAAAATCACTTGTTATTCATTGTCAAATCAGTTAAGTATTTGGTGAAAACATTTTCAGTTATGAAATTTGTCAGAAATTGGTTATGGCCGTGAAAGGTATGGCACAACATTCATGATCATGATGTGGAACGAAGTGGGAGACCTTCAGTCATTATGATGTTCAGATGGAAAAGGTATACAGTATGTAAGAGAGAACAGACGGTACCCGATTTTCCTTAGCTGACAAGTTTCTTGCTGTCTCAAGAAGTGTTCTCCACGAAATTGTTCAATCAGGTTGTATAATCAGGCAGCGGCTTTTCTGGCGATGGCATTTAAAACTGGTAAGTAATGTCTCAGTATTAACGGGAACTATGTAGAAAAGTGAAGTATGGCCTTCCCAGTGAATAAATTATATTTTGAAGAAATTACTTGTTGTTTTTTACATCAAAACGGTACCTGCTTTAAAAACACGCATCGTATTTGACGGGACAAAGTTTTAAGCCAACAATCACATAAACAAATTTTAACAAATATTATTAATCAGATTTTTGCTAAACCGATTGCTATTTGATTTGCGAGAACCTATGCAGAAATTAGCGACGATACTATGTTACGTTAAAAAAATAAGGTGCCTGATTTACGTGTATTTAATATCCTTTGTAGACATTTCCAAATATGAACTACAAGATAACTTAAAAACTGTTTCGGATATCACAAAGTTCTCTCATTCTAGCTTACAAATCTAATAATTTCTGGAAGAATTCGCAAATTTCTGGCAGACTATTTCTGCAAATCAAATTCTGGAATAAAGAAAGCAAAGAATTACATGAATGCTTTGCCGCACGCAGCGCGCGTCATGAGGCGTGTAATGGCCTCTAGCGTGACGTGTGTTGGGCGGGTGGTGGGCGGACGCCATACCGAGGCAGACGATGCGGGGGAGCAAGCATTACCAAGGCAGACGATGCGAGAGAGCAAGCATACCAAGGCAGACGATGCAAGAGAGCAAGCATACCAAGGCAGACGATGCAAGGGAGCAAGCATACCAAGACAGACGATGCAAAGGAGCAAGCATACCAAGACGGACGATGCAAGGTAGCAAGCATACCAAGGCAGACGATGCAAGGGAGCAAGCATACCAAGGCAGACGATGCAAAGGAGCAAGCATACCAAGGCAGACGATGCAAGGGGGCAAGCATACCAAGACGGACGATGCAAGGGAACAAGCATACCAAGACGGACGATGCAAGGGGTCAAGCATACCAAGGCAGACGATGCAAGGGAGCAAGCATACCTAGACGGACGATGCAAGGGAGCAAGCATACCAAGGCAGACGATGCACGGGGGCAAGCATACCAAGACGGACGATGCAAGGGAACAAGCATATCAAGGCAGACGATGTAAGGGAGTAAGCATACCAAGGCAGACGATGTAAGGGAGTAAGCATACCACGGCAGACGATGCAAGGGTGCAAGCATACCACGGCAGACGATGCAAGGGAGTAAGCATACCAAGGCAGTCGATGCAAGGGAGTAAGCATACCAAGGCAGACGATGCAAGGGAGCAAGCATACCAAGACAGACGATGCAAAGGAGCAAGCATACCAAGGCAGACGATGCAAAGGAGCAAGCATACCAAGGCAGACGATGCAAAGGAGCAAGCATACCAAAGCAGACGATGCAAAGGAGCAAGCATACCAAGGCAGACGATGCAAGGGAGTAAGCATACCAAGGCGCGTTGCATGTGCAGTAAGCATACCAGAGCAGACAATGTGTTGAATCTTGAATTGCTATGCAGGATCTACCCGAGCTCAGTTCTCAATTTCGGTGTTCGCAACGAATTAAACTCTTAGAATAGAAGTGTCGGCGTTGAAGAAATAGGCCCATGGCCTGTTTCTTGATCTCTTATCATTTCTCGTACGATCTCGTGTCTTCCCGGCATCATGATAGTATAACGAAACTCTTGCTTGATCTGACTCCAAAAAATCTCAATATATTAGTCAGCCGTCAAGGAGACAAAACTGATTTACAAGAATTACTTCATTTATTTCACTCAGATCTTCAAGCTACATAAAAGTTGATCATCGAATTAATTATCGTCGCTTTCAATGTTATATTTCGCCATCGTGAAAATATATTTCGATTCGATAGATGAGCTACTGGCGGTAAATAAGCTACGAAAACGCGTTGCACTCGAAAATTAAGAACTCACAAACAAACATATGACGAACAAAGTAGTGTCTAACATAAATTAGACTCCTTAAACTGTAAAATTACAACGAAATGAAATCTCACATACTCCCACCAAATTATGAACTTATCATGGATAATATATATCTAAATAGTAATTTTATTAAATAATCTTGTTTGGAACCAACGCCGTCCAAATCTTGACCTCTTACCTTTTCCTTTGTTTGGATCTCCACCCCCGTTGGCTGTTTGCTATTGTCCGGTTAAAAAGTCTAATTCAGTTATGGAAAACACCTCTCCGTCTTCTGATCTTCGTTTCGGAAGACGTTTCATCTCTACGTTTGCTTTTCCTTTCCCGTATTTTGTACATTCAACACAATGATGGAGTGCGGACGAGATTGATCTTCTTGCTTAGGTTATCCGAAATCTTGTCAGCAACTTTTCCATGAGAAACAGTGTTCATGGGTGACAATACTTTAGATGACATTCCCTTATTATTTCTCGTACGATCTCGTGTCTTCCCGGCATCATGATAGTATAACGAAATTTCTCTTTGTCGTCGCTGTTATCACCGTCTTGATTCGTAATATACCATCGGGACAATGAAGTTTTCGTCTAAGCCTGAATATATCTATATATAACATATATCCTGAATATATCTAATCAGGTATGGCATGACATTCTTCTTGTCCTTCACGAACTCTATAAATCGCATCTACCAGGCGACCATCTACACGCGTTCAAGAACAGACTAGATAAAGCTATGGAAAAATATATCTTCAGATTTGAAATGCTTAGCATCATATCGAACAAGCTGGAAGTCTAGTAGCTGTTTCAAACTATAGTCAGTCACGAAAAGATCCGGTCAAATGACACGATTTTAGATCTTCTGCGAACAAGGCACGAAAAGGAAAAGAATCGGCGACAGGCCACTTCAGGCCTACTCTTAAACACCGTCATCACTATGTTATGTTACACCGTTCCGTAATAGGAAATATGTGTTAGAGGGAATATTCTTGCTTCAGGTTTCAGCACCGTGTTAGCTTTCGAGACCTTTCGTTCCGATTTGACATCATCTGCTGGTTCGTTGGATCTAAGCATCGATCGTAAAAAATCTCATCAGCCTTCATAATTACTCGCAGTGTTTAATAAACTTTGCGCGTCTTCCATATATTGGGACCATCGCTAGCAAACTGAACTCGTACAGATCTATTCACTGTCAATGATCAATTTCCAGGGTACGGTACATAAGTTACTAGTGATATACAACCGTTTGGCTCCCGCGGAGGGCACTCGTCATAAGGGCGCGGTTCAGCGTGCTAGACGAACTATGTAGGGCCCATGAAGGTTTAAAGAGATTAATGCGCATCAGAACCGCATAAATAGTCATACAAGAGAGCGTTTGGTGTGCTAATTGCACAGTGCTATTCACGGGGCAACTTCCCTGAAGCATCAATTGAAAATCAGCGTTTAATATTTCAGGATCCAGACCCTTGAAGGGTAGGGGAGAAATGGACCAAACTTAAAAATTAACCTTCAAGTTGCACGCATGGCGAGGGAGCGAGACTGTATCGTAGTAATCAGTAGCATTGGATGTGAAAGTAAACGAGCGAGCCACAAGAGGCACCGATGCGGGGGGAGAGTGGCTTCACGGTTGGTTATCTCAGATAATTGATATCGCGATTTAATAAAAAAAATTAATGAAGAACGATTACTTGCACCTACCCAAAAAAAGCTATTTTAACTGTGCACCACTGTCGATTTTGCGATTTTGTTCAAATTAGGCTTGCAAAAATTCCTACATTGGTTAACATATACCGTAATTGTTAAGTATAGCCTGATCATCAGCCACGAACTAACACCGATAAGGTAGAATACAAAAGAAAAAGGTAATGTAATTATATTTTAAAAAATAAAAGTCGATTAACAGGATAGTCAGGAAATCCTATTTACATTCGAACGTGTGCGTAATTCCTAACTTCTTTGATTCACATAACCTTATTACTATTACAATTTTTTTCCCCCTTCATTTCATTAGTTCATTCTTTGAAGTTGAGCAATCACCATTCGCAACTTTTTGCCTTTAGTTAACAAGGCATAAACTTGCACAATTCCTCAACCTTCCAGAGTGTTAGATTTGCAACTAAATCCATGGTAGATATCCTATCATTTTCAGGTACATCAATAAAAAATCGAATTGAAGAACTGTGATAAAAACCTACGATTTTAGGAAGAGGGGGACATTTCTAGGCCTAAAGGTTCGAAAAAACGTGGATCAAAGCAATGCGAAATTTTTGTTTTTATGTAAAAGATGCTACAATGAAAACGACAAATCGGATTATCACAATGACATAAGCGAAATATTGAACTTCATGCCGTTTGTACAGAAAAATAGAAAGGAGGAGCTGGTCAAAGATCTAAAATCTGAGTTCAGACAGGTGAGGGAATTTTCTTGGGTTTTTTTAATAGACAACAATATCAACTCAAAGCCAAGCCCGCGGCACTCCAGTCTAAAAGGAACATTTAAGCACCAGACACGAACACACCACAACACATCTACCTACAGCACAAAAACGATCAACATTTAAAATGTTTGCAAACAAGTCGAGAAAAGGAGGAACAAGAATTCCGATTTCAGATCGTCAACTAAGGCCCGTTCGCGAACGCGTAAAAGAAAAGTGACTGAGAAAAATTTAATATTTTTTGCAGAATACAAGACCAACATTATTAATTTTCTTTCCCCGGGAGCCATGCTGAGGCCTTGGCAGGCTCAAGAATCGTCTTCAGAAATTAGAAGGTAATTTCTTCGTCCTCTAATAGACGAGTCAGGTTCATGTCCCCAATTTGGTCCAACTGAAATTAAAGGTATAAGTTAAATGTTGAGAAAATACTATCAGGATTCATAGGAAAATCAAACTAATGTAAAAGGTAAAAGTAGCACATTTATGATCATTACAGTGTTCTATACACAATGCAGAATGAAACAGCCTCCTTGATCACGATGAGAATCTTACACACAACACTGATATGCTCTTGAAACAAAGTTTCAAAAAATTCATAAGCATAATTAATTAAAAAATTAACTGGAAAAATAGAATGAAATTTACAAAAAAAAATACTAAAACGTTTCATGGACAGCCTCCACTAAGTCATAATGCGCAACTGGCACACACAAAAAAAAAATACTCGTCAGTCAGAAACAGAAACTTAATGGGTCCGTTTACTAAGGGGTACGAATTAACTCACCAGGCTGTCCTCGCGATGAAGCTCCAGCAGCCACTGCAGGAGACCAAGCAGGTGTCGCTTGCACGACACTCGCACCTGCGACACACAAACATCACGAGTACACATCACAGTAAGCACCGAGACTGGCTGCACTGATTATAGAGCGTTTATGAGCCAACACTGCGCTTTACTAGATGGTATACAAAAATTCTCTATTAACTCAACACACTCCTGTATGAGATGAGCGTCAGAATTTGTATTCGCTTCTGGAGCAGTTGATTGACCATCGGTTTAATGAGCGGAGAAATATTAGAAAATTGTAAACTCATATTACGCGCAGTGGAAATTTCCATACATTACTGTCAATACAGTGCCTAATAGCTTATTTTCCCGCAAGACCGTTGAACTAACCTTTTCTCTATCAATCAGTATATATTTATGCCAGATATTTAACAATCTTTTTCCTCTCCATATATATTTTAGATTAGAAAACGATCAACCACCAGGCTACCACCAACAGCTTCCATGAAAGCTTTCGTGTCAAAGAATTTTTAGACAATCGGCTTGAAACATTCGGCTGTACGCTACAGGTCGATTTGTGTGTTATACATGGGCTCATGGAAGAGCAACTGTAAGATGACAACCTTATAACCGCCTATGTCGTTATGATAGCTATTATATGTCGTTGTGATGGCCATAATATGTCGTGATAGTAAGCTCAAAGTGTACGTATACTGGCCGAAATAACAAGTTTAGCCAGTCTATACATAAGATTTTACACCCATCTGTGAGTTAGAATTAGATTCTGGGTGAAAACCACCCTTAAAATAGTTTTAACTTGAAAATGAAGTTCTTGAAGTGCAATGAACGTAATGTATGATACAAAAATAATGAATAATTTAATTTGATAGGCAGCAATATATAATAAATATCTTAATTTTCTTTTTGATAATGAGTCATTCAACTGAAAAATTACCTCACTAGATTTTCAACCTACACAGCTAACAACTAAATCTACCCTATTAAATAGAATAGGCCGTATTTACAGCATGAGTTTAATGTATAATGGAATCTCTAATTAGAGTGCAGTGGACATTTGCATATGTTCGAGTTGAATTTTTACGAGCTATCAATGAGTATTTCGAGGAAAAAATCAAGACAAAGAGTACCTGGCCGCTGCGAAAGAGCGTCACGCACGACGTCTTGATGCTGAGAAGTCGTAGGCACGAAGCAGGCAGGTGCGTCATTTGTGCAATTATTTTGCCTACAAGACAGTGGAAGAGATCACGCTCGCTGCCCGTCACTTGCGCTTCGTCCGATTCCGAAAAAATGCTGCAGGTAAACAAATAATTATTTTCCATAAATAGTTAAATTTTTGTCACTCCCATGAATGCTAAAAAAAGGTAGATCAGTTGAATAACTGCGTTATTGATTAGTATTACATTTAAGAATGAAAAATTAAGAAAAAATATTATCTAAAATTCCTAATAAATTTTCAAATGGTAATGAGTCAATAATAGTAATTCAAAACGGGTAATCTGAGCTAGATACTGCCACGAAAATGGTCGAAATCAATTGGAATCATGGACGTGAAATGACAACACATTCGAATGTAAATGCTCAATCATAGTATTGTGAGCACTATGGATGAAATTTACATCGTACCACGTGGCGATTTTCTTCATGGTGTCAGCGGGCATTTCCAAACTGACGAAGCTCTCATCCCGGACCTTGGAGGACGAGGGGTAGCGCCGGTGGTGCTGCCAGCCGTCCGCACTCAGTCCCACGATTGCGTAACTCAGCGAAACAGGAACTGAAGCAAGAAACATGTAATAAAGTAACCCCTCAGCACCCTGTTGATGATAGAGTTGATCGCATCACACCTCAATAGGGCGTGTCGGTTCATTTTATTTGCTTGAGTGACACCAGCAACCCACGTAGAAGTGCGAAAATGTTCAACTTCTTACAGCACAATGGGCGCCTCGAAGAATAAATTTACAGCGCAGACTTTGAAACTCACAAATAACTTATGGTTCAGACTTTGACCAGTACAGAAAACTTAAGCACACAGTTTTCGACTACGACATTAACATATCTTCAAGTTCCAAACTTAGTTCAACTAAGACAGTCATGAATCCTAAGATTAATTTTTCATATTCATTTTTCCCTTCGAAATCATTAGCCACTAAAAAATTATTTACGGAAGTCGTAAGTACAAGAGCGTCTTACAGTTGGGATCAGCACACGACTGCTGGTACCAGAGTCCTGAAGCCCACAGCAAGGCAGACGCCTTCAGGCCTTTCTGAGACACGTAGGCGCCAAACGAGTCGGCTAGCCACAGCTCTACTGCCTGATGAATTCTTTCCCGACCTGAAAAATAAATTTATACCAATTTTAAACAAAAATTATAACAATTACAATACGACATTTAAAAAATACTAATTAATATTCTCTGCCATTCTGAAAAATCAGCCATCTCCAGCCTGAAACAAAAATTTATAACAATTTCGAGACAACAATCAAAATAATACTAATTAATATTTCCTAGCTTTCTGAGAAATATGAAATAAGGCACATGTAACCAGTACGGTACCTAGTTAAGTGAAGCATTCAATTCAATTTATTTCTCAGATAGCCGAGTAAATGCCAACGAATGAGACATTTAGATAATTTGAAATTCTCAAAACGCTAGATAGGCAATTCCTTCCACATTGATTAATAGTCATGCGCGCATTGCGCGGAGGAGACGCACCGACATAGAAATATAAAGGATACCAGTTGATGCCGGCAGTGTCGGCGCTGCGATCTTTGAGCTGAGCTTGCACCATGAAACTCTTGTACAGAATACGCCGATTATCGGTCGCTTCTTGTGTCTCTTTCTTCTTTCTCTTTCTTGACGGGCTTCTATCGTGGAAAATTATAAGATTATTCTAATGTTGAATTTCTTTGCTACCTAATCTGCCCAGAAATAGCGCGGTTTTGATGAAAAAAATTATAAGTCATCCAAGAAAAAGTGATACCATCGCATAATTGCTTGTGACCAAATGACTTGGTGAGAAAAATAAGTGTTTAAAGCCGTCTTAAAACAAGTTATCTTATTATTAATTCAATAGTTAGCCTTCCTATAGTATAAGTAGTTGAGCAATTCAACAGCCTTTTAAATCAGTGGTTCCCAAAGTGGGCGATATCGCCCCCGTAGGGGCGGGGTAAAGATTTTGGGGGGCGGTAAGGAAAAAGAGGGCGATAGGGGGGGCGGCAGTCCGAAGTCAATGTCAGAAGTTCGAACGTTTGTTTGACGATTTGTACACAACACGTGCAGCACATGACTCCCAGCGATGGTTCTTTTTCACATAGATCTGTTTTTAGCGCATTTTCTCATTCATGTAAAAAAATACATTATTGTGCTCGCCATGTCCGTCAGTCCGCCCGTCCGTCTGCCTGTCCGTCCGTGACTTCACGTTTTCGTCAACGAGAAAATGCGCTCTCTGTCACACACTGCAGTGAGTACTGAGTTATATATTTTTAACCTCTCCTGGGTTTACGTCTCGGACAAATTAACGGCCGGACTCGCTGCCGGTCTCACGGCCAATTTCTAAATTCAACGATCAAGGAATTTCTCTCAAACTAATGAACTTAACCCGATGAAACTTGGTACATCTATTCATTAGGACTTAACGGTTATGTTTATCTCGTGAAAATTTTTTGAATTTTGCCTTCATTTGTTTTTGCCATAGTTATATGACAATACCGGCCGAAATTCACAGTGATCAAGGAATTTCTTCCAAACTACTGAACAGATTCGAACGGAATTTTGAAATTACAGTTCTAACTACCGAACAATACTGTTTAGCTCGTGAAAATTTTTTTGATTGTGCCTTCGTTCGCGATTTTTTTTTTTATTTCACCTTCATTCGTAATTTAAACAGCAATTTGTGCTTAAATTCGCAGTAATCAAGAAATTTCTTCCAAACTACTGAACAGAGTTGAGCAAAACTTAGTATTTCAATACCTAACCTCAACAACAGTGATGTTTAGCTCCTTACAATTTTTTCGTTTTGTCTTCGTTTGCGAGTTATACCGCTATATGTAAACGGCTCTTGGTTAAACCGGCCGGTAGAAAAGCCAGTCGTTCCTCCTATATCTGTATATACATATATACTAGCGAACGAAAGCATAATAGAAAAATTGTCACGAGCTAAACATCACCGTTGGGAGGTTAGGTATTTATATACAAAGTTTAGTTAAAATCTGCATAGTAGTTTAGAAGAAATTTCTGAATCGCCGCGAATTTAAGCGATAAATTACCCGGCAATACGGTCCGAATATGAGGTAGTGTGAAATCAAGAATGACGGTGAAATGAAAAAACTCGAAAACGAAGGTTAAATCGAAAACTTTTAAAGCTAAAAAATCACCGTTTGGTATATAGGAATGTATATTCAAAATTTCGTTCAAATCTATTCAGTAGTTTGGAAGAAATTCTTGATCACTGCGAATTTGGGCCTATATCGCAATTTAACTCACGAATGAAGGTGAAATTTAAAAAATTTTCAGGAGCTAAACGTAACCGATAGGTTCTGATGAATACGTGTATGTTTCAGTTTTCATTGCGCTGCGTTCATAGCTTGGGAGATATTACTTGATAATTGAATTTGGAGATTGGTCGTGGGACTGGCCACGAGTCCGGCCGTATATTTGCCCGGGACGTCCTAGGTTTCTGGTGCTGAACCGTTAAAACAGCTGAAAAACATATTGGTTCACTAAATGGGTTCTATTTGTTAAATACACATTTGTGTTTAACCTTTATCTTTTAAAATTACAGCGTACTAAATTTTATGAAAGAGGTGTATGTTTTTATATGCGTCTGTAGGGGCGCTTTGAAATTCTCTAGGGAGCCAAAGAGGGCGCCAGCCTGAAAAAGTTTGGGAACCACTGTTTTAAATAGACTGCTTCAAAGTTCATTCAAGTTTGTGTAGTTCACGATTACAGCAAAAACACCAATAAAGATAATGATACTTGAAAGGGAATATATTTCATATACCTACCTCAAGTCCCACTCCCGAGGTAGAGAGTAGCTGATGGTGAGTGACACGGCATCTGTGATGCTCAGGTTGCGCGAGAAGCAGTGCACCGGCAGCAACTCAACTTGAACATTGAAAGGCAGCAGCTCACTAATCTGAAACAAAATCACTTGTTGGAGCAGAATCTCAAGAGACACATTACAAAAGATGACTCGTGTAGGTGAGGCAGAACTGTCTCGTCAGAAAACTTGATAACTATACACTACTGACACATGAAAAAAATCTAATGGTATTCAGTTGGTAGATAATTGGAGCTGCATTAAAACTCATTATCAAGCGTGTGCTAGTAGTTTAAGTCTAGGGCCTGATGTAGGTACTAGTGAGCGGTGCACATATTATTCAGGCTTCGGCATTCCTATTGATAAGTGGGGACATGAATCGATTTCCGTACATTTTAACTTAGTAACATCTGACAAAAATACCTCAACTTACGGACCATAAATGTATTTTAAAATGAAATTAACCCATTAATGCCGAGCGGTTCCATTTGGAACCAGCGGAAAGAAATTGATTCATAATAAAATTGTATGGTCAAATCAATATACTAGTGGATGAAAGCATTCTATGCTAAAAATTGAATTGTATTATGCCATGATTGGTTTATCATCAGTATTGTCCATTATGAATACGTATACTATTACGTATTATCCATTATGAACAACCTTGCTTGATTTACTATCGGAAAAAGTGTTGTTTGAAGAAACGTTATGTTAATGCCGAGCGGTTCCATATGGAACCAAGCTATAATTTTTCACATACAACGAAAAATAAATATATGAACATACTTTTTGCTTATTACCATCACAAATGATAATATTCTCACAAGGAACCGAAAAAAAATCAGAAAATAATTCTCGTCATTAATGGGTTAATTATGGAAAACCTTCAAATAAGTTTCAGGATAAACTTTTCTTGAGAGCCAAAATACTGAGAAACCTTATTGCGCAGTGTCTTCTGGTAGCTGGAGCGTAGATTAGGCACATGCACGTCAAAGCCGGACATGGCGCTCAAGTATGCCAGCTTCCACGTCTTATTCAGCCAAGCTGAGTAAAAAACAATACAAATATACATTTATAACTGGTTGCGTCACATGAGCAAATTATACATTGATAGACAGTTTGCATTACATGGCATCAATTCTAAAATTAGTATTTAAAGTGAATATAGCCAATATGGGTGCTACAGCAATGGATCAATGCTCTTCTGACACTAATTGTTGTTCCCAGTTTGTGATTCAGAGAATAAGTCCTAATTGCGTCCTCTTCATAATGCTGTCTTCGATTTTATTTTCCCTCAAGAAATCAAAACTTCATCAGAATTAATTACAAGCACAGCAAGAAATATGCAAAGAACTAAAGAAAAACTCACTCTTGATTTCGGAGTCCCAAGCCGAGATCTGTTCTTTTGAATACTCAGGGGCTGGAATTTGCTGAAGTGGTCGGTGCGCTACTTTGGGACACTGAGCTTTGAAGGGCGTTGTTCTGTGCCCAGCACCTCCTGCTATTAGATAAATGGCAGTAATTAAAGGAATTTTTCCAAGGTATCAACAAGAATGCAACAAGGTTAAAATAAACAAATCTTGTGAGGAGCCTGGTCTCCACTGAGACCAGGTGTTCAGTTCATTTATCCCATCATCAACTGCGAATACTTTATTGTCTTTAACAGCAGGTTTTTCATTCATAATATAGAATCATAACAAGAATTATTAATTGATGCTTCCTTCAGTTATAATACCCTAACTATTAAAAATTGCACACAAAAGCTAGATTCAGGAGGTGATTAGTGAGGCTTGACTGCAGTACCTCATGACAAAAACGCACAAACAAAATAAAAAGCAAACTTGACCATGCAGATGCGGGGTTGCAAGCCTTGGGCGTTTAGCACTGGACGCATCCACAACGCTGGTGAACAGAACACTTGCTGCTGGCGTGCTCTGAGATATGGTGGCTTCAGGAGCAGGTAACACTGAAGAAGCTTCACCACTAGACAATCGGGCAGCTGCACGATGATAACAAAAAGCAAGCCTCTTACATGGAATATGATCTTTAAAGCTCAAGAAAATAATACAGGAGAAACATCAATTTCAGGCTAAAGACTTACTTGAAACAACACTGCTTGTGATACATAATCACAAGCCTACAACCAAGTTGGCCAGCACTGCATCATATCAGTGAAAATTATTCAGAAAAATTGGTTTTACAGATTAAATGGGGTTTATTCCAACAAAAAATCAGGACATTCCGAACAATGAGAATTTACACAGAAGAGAATAATAAAATTTGCCAAATGAAAACAGCATCACAAGAAGTTTACTATTAAAAATAATATGTTCAAACCTCCAAATCATTTAAACAGAAACTAACAATGTCTGCGGTGGCTGGAGGGTGGAACATAGAGGGAACGTCTAAGGCTGTGGCGGTAGCTGGGCTTCTTAAAAGCAGAGCCAGAGCCTAAAGAAGTATTCCTCACTTGGCCAGGGCTATGAGGAAAAAGTTGAATCATACATAACAAATAGTATATCTTTCACTGAGCAACAATTATTGGGTTAATTGGCTTCACAACTTATGCTCATCTTAGGAAAGCATTATATACATGCTTCTTCATGAAAACTTGAAAGTACAGGGTAACCACATTTAAAGACTTGCAAATGGGCATGCATCATGAGAAATAAAAATCTATATATATATATATACATTAGAAAAAGAATGAGGTCTTTTTAACAACTGCTGATTATATTAAGAAAGCTGTAGATTCACACCAAACTGAAGACATTTTCACTGCATTACACATCAAGAAAAGCATGTCTCAGGAGAAAAACTGTAAGCTTCATTTAAGATGCCTCACCTGACAGGAGTTACTCTCCCACTTGAAGCTGCTGTAGTTCCAGGCGATCTGCGTGCATTTCCCTGATGTAATATAATACACATAGAATACAATTTAGAAAATGTCAGTCTTGCATTTAATGTGAGACCAATTTATCACTTCATTAAAAAATTTGCACGCCACAAAGAAAGGGAAGAAGTATTGGAATTATTAATGTGTTTAGAATGAGTAAGTAAAAATCAATCAAATTATCTTGAAAAATTAGGCCAGAGTAGGATAAAAAGAAATACGTAAGTAAATGCTTTGTTTTCAAGAAATAATAAGCATCATAAAGCATGTATACTAATTATTATTAAATATTTACCTGCAGTGAGGGTTGTAACACTTTAGATGTTGGGGACTTGGAAGAACCTGACTTGCTAAGCCCTCTCAGTGTTTGAGTTGAGGACGTTGGAGGAAGACTTCTCTTCCGAGGAACAGAATCATCATCGGACAGAATTTTCCGTGGAGCAACAACAGGACCAACGTTTGTATCTGGAATCATATTACTTATTAGAGTACCTATTGCTTAAAGTGAATCTAGTGAAAAATCAAGGATTTCTAGCAGTAAGTTAATCAGGTGATTGCATAATCTATAAAAAATAAATTACAGTATGTGCAGTAGAAGCATAGATGTATACAATTTTTTATTTTGACTGAAGTCAAGCATGAAAGTTCTAAATTGCGTTTTTTATTTATAAAAAGCCAGATGAATAAAGCTATGTTTAATAATATTCTTCAGACATAGAGAACAAATTAATTGGATTGCATTCAGCTGCATCATTGCATTTTCAACTTGATTCTATGTCCATCCCTACAAATCAGCATTAGTGACAGCAAATGCAATGCTAATGTATGTACAGTGAGATGTACCTACTGTCCTGTATGAGGGCTGAGATGCTGGGTGTACATTACAATGAAAGAAGGGAATGAGCAGTCCATGTGCAATGGAGGTGTACAAGTAGCCATGGAGTAGTTGATGGTTAGGTGCACACATTAGCGCTAATGGGTTGTCAATGGGAGAAATTTTGGCTTTGATTTAAGAAGCAAAAATGAATAAAGGTGGAAAACAAAATAAATAACTGCATAATAACTTTAAATATGGCAGTGTTTTAGTTCCTCACTTAGGTTGCATGTCAATTTTTCAGATTAAAATGTAACTCAAAAGATGTTTAAAAGGATAGTTTGAGACTTATGATTTCTTAGAAGATACGTACTTATCAGAGCTAAGCTTATTGAAAGAATAATGAAGACAGATTATATATACAACCACTCATAATATATTTTAATACAAATTTAGACACATGACCATTTTATGGCTACATCACTAGGTACCAATGCCTTTTCAAGTAAACTGATGTTCAACTGGGGTTAAACTATTAAACTGAAAAAGATTCCACTTTATGCAACTGACATTTATTGCATGTTATTGTGTATGATCGTAAGTTATGAATGTTCCTACACTCAGATAAGGTATATAATATTTCAAAAATATTTTATTTCTCTTGTATTTTCTATAAAATCCTTTCAATTTTATCATACATTTTGAATACAAATTTTGAAACATACCATATGTAATTGCTGAAAATTTTAAAACATTAACCTGCCTTTAGTTTGGGTAAACTATGAAGTTAACTAGAACTTGTTTTGATTTTGTGTCAACTTGTAGACTAGTTAGAAAGCAGCAGAGCAATCAGATTGTCAGATGATACAGATACAGTGTTTGCTTCACTTGTCTCTCAAGCTTGGAAGTATTGATGGAAATTGGGGTCTATACAGAGAATAGATAAGAAGGAAATTAAGGAATGAACTTAGAACAGCCAAGCAACCAAAGAAGGAAATGTTTGTTCTATTAGCTCACAAGCTTCTAGAATTTCATCTTTATCAGACAATACAATTTACCACATGTCTTGCAGGGCTTCTAGAAGTCATTGAGTGAAGAAAGGAAATATATATCAAAAACTAAAGTTATCAGTTCATACAGCACATGGAAATTGAGATGAATTTAATTTGATTTTTTTCTAACATTTTGGCACTCAATTGTGTTTCACACTATATGCATTTTAGGGCACATAATAGTGATCATGACTCAAATATTGAAATCATTTGATTGTTTGAAGACAAAATCAACTAAGAATTTAAAAGCAATAAAAATGTCATAAAAATTCACCACACACATAATTTCAGAAAAAATATCTTTTTAAGCAAACAACAAGTTTGAACACAGCTTTTCATTTTATCCACTTGATATTTATAGAAAGGTATGTGTGCATGTTATTACTTCCCACTGCTTTGTCTATTAGGTACCTACTTCCTGAATTTGTTTTCAATATCTGCTCTGTCAAATTTGGTTGTGTTAATCAATTGACCTTACATTCTAGGATTTTCAAAAAAGTAGAGCAAAAGCAAAATGCTCTATGAAACTATGGTCGATTTTTATGGCATTCTCCATTTTAAATTCTCATTAAATATGATCTAAAGAGACAAAAAAGGAAAATATTTTTCTTCACTCACGGTGAGCACATTATTCACATATTGACTTACCTCTGATGGGGGTGCTCACATATGGACCAGATGGTGCAGATGCTGTCCTAGCTCTGGCCTTTGGCTGTGACTTCTTAGTTCCCATGCTTGTCCCCTTTGTTTTAGAGAAGGCACTGGATCTTATATTTTTCTTTGGAGGCATAATTTTACTAGAATTCCAAGTTTCTTGTGTACTGATAAAATCAAAGTATGTGTCTCTAACAATTCTACAATTTACTTTAAATAATTTGCACAAGTTGCAGTTTATTCTAAGAAAACTATTGCTTCTATCAACAATGCATTGATAGATTTATTAATGACTTGAAATCTGATTTTAGAAACTTTCATTAGTTTGAAACATAGTGTCAAACAATACACTTTGGTCAAAAAAATATAATAAATCCTAAAAAACTTTCATTTCAATTGATTACCTATTAACACACGATTTCAATTATGCAAATATAATTTTGCTTGCTTTATAAAAATAACTAGCAATGCAAGCCTAAAAATTTTTGCACAGTATATGCTGTAGTGAAAGGCTCAGATTTTTTTTATTCAATTTCAAGTCCACTTATTCAAAAGCTACCAAATATAATACCATCAAACGGGGTAAAAAGGGACAGTTTTGAGCATTTTTTGTTAACAACTTCTTACAATGAAACATTTCAGAAACAAATTTAGGCTCATTTTATAGCCCTTTGCGAGGGCGATCCAATGGCATATTCAAAAAAATTCCATATGCTATTCGTAAGGTGCCAGACAGAAAATAAAACCAGCCCAATTTACCCCTGTGAACGGGGTAATCCGGGACACTTGCAATAAAAGTTAATTTTAAAACGTTTGAATCATGCAGAGTGTACTCATCCATTACTAAGAGTACTCTGAAGTCCTCCTCTTTCATTGTAGATGATGTAGATGTAAAATGAATGACATTTTCTGTGATTTTTACTTGTTTTTCCTTTATTGATATTATATTACCATATTCATTAATTACTTTATTATTAATGTGGTACCGTCAACCGGGGCTACTCGGGACAGGCGGGGCTACTTGGGACAGGCCTATGACACGGCGTAAAACTGTTGTAGTAGCGAAACTAATTGGAATATCGCAAAACTAAAAATAGTAGTTAATGATCACGCGAAGTTAATGATCACGCAAAGTTAATGATCACGCGAAGTTAATGACCACGCAAAGTTAATGATCACGTGAAGTTAATGACCACGCAAAGTTAATGACCACGCAAAGTTAATGATCAGGTGAAGTTAATGACCACGCGAAGTTAATGATCATGGGAAGTCCCAATTAAAATGATGTGAAATTAGGAGCCTTCCTGTAAGCTTACAGATACAAAAAAAAATGTTATAAGGCTGCTGATATGAAGCTTGCAATGGACAAGGTTGTTGTAAATGCTCAATGGCATGTTCATGGATACGGTAATATCACATCAATAATACGGTAATTAATGTATATGGCAATATCATATCAATAAAGGAAAAACAAGTAAAAATCACAGAAAATGTCATTTATTCTATCTCTACATCATCTACAATGAAAGAGGAGGACTTCAGAGTACTGTTAGTAATGGATGAGTACGCTCTGCATGCTTCAAATGTTTTGAAATGAAGTTTTATTCCCGTTGTCCCGAGTAGCCCCAACCGACGGGGCTACTCGGGACAATCTCTATTTTGTGTCTGGCACCTTATGAATAGCATATGGAATTTTTTTGACAACGCCATTCGATAGCCCTGCCAATCAGCTATAAAATGAGACTAAACTTGTTCATGAAATGTTTCATCCTAAGAAGTTATTAACTGTTATTTAAAACTAATCGTTCAAATCTGTCCCGAGTAGCCCCGGTTGACGGTACATATTACTGTATCCATGGACATGCCATTGAGCATCGACAACGACCTTGTCCACTGCAAGCTTCATATCAGCAGCCATGTAGCATTTCTTCTGTGTCTGTAAGCTTACAGCATGGTTTGTAATTTCGCACAATTTTAATCAAGTCAAGTGATTTCACTATAACAAAAAAAATCATGAAAAACATACCTAAAACAGAAACTAATGTTTTAGTGACAACCATCATATGTTTTGGAGAAATAAATCATAGTTTAGGTCAATTACTTTTCATTCTATGATGCCCGGTGCACAATTCTATATATAGCATTCTATGTAGGTACAATTTTGTGATGCCCAATGATGCACTAATTTTTCGATAAGTGAATTTTTTTTGCTGAGCGAGGTAACTGTAATCAAAATTCTTTGTTGTCCATAAATTTTTTTTTTTTAACGGGAGCCTTTGCTAACTGAGGTTCTACGGTAAATGCATTTTTAAGGGTGTCCCTAATTACCCCGAGGGGAGTCCGTTTTTACCCCGTTGCGCGGAAATGGATGCCATTTTTTTTTTGAATGAGATAGGCGAATTCCATCAATTACGTTTTCAAGCCGACACCTGGATACAACTTTTGTGCATGCAAAATTTTTTATTACAGCAAATATTTTTTTGGCTCCAGACCTCAGCAGAAGTACTTTTCCAAAATCACACTTTTCACACTTTTTTTCAGTGATTTTTTAGAGATAGTAAATAATTTATTTCTTGACTAGCTTTATACATAATATTAGTAAAAATGTTGAAGTTTACACCACTATTTTTAGTTTTGCAATATTTTGATTAGTTTAGCTACTACAACATTTCTATGAAATGTGTGTAACCGGAAACACCACCGTGAAGTTGAAATAGTTAAGGGTAGCGTGTCGACTTGATGGTGACTTGCGTATTGGTTTCAACACAAGGGCTAAAGAGTCGCTCTTTGGTCCGGCTCTAAATTCCCTTGCATTGGAGAGAAGAGGAATAAACAAGAGAAACTTTTCATAATATATTGGTTATCTTCGAGCAATACACAATTCCTCTGTACAAGGCACACAATATATAATAGGTCCTGAAGCTCTGGGAATTAGGGTCTCAGCCTCAGGGATACAACGTCGAGGAATCCTAATAAACTACTGAGGACCACAGAAGCGGGCAGCAAGGATACAGGTACGAGCCGCACCCCAAAACTGACAACCTTACAGGAGTGGACAGCAAGGATACGGTTACGAGCCGCACCACAAAACTGACAACCTTACAGGAGTGGACAGCAAGGATACGGGTGCAAGCCGCACCACAAAACTGACAACCTTGCAGGAGTGGCAGTAAGGATATGGGTACGAGCCGCACCACAAAACTGACAACCTTACAGGAGTGGACAGCAAGGATATGGATATGAGCCGCACCACAATGCCGACAGCCAATGCAATGATCAGGGGTTTGAGCCCTAATGCAGTACCCAGAACACAGAACCAGGGAGGCAGTTACGCCTCAAAAGCCCAACTATTGAAGGGTATGAGCCTAAAATAAGCAGCTGACAATTTACTCAAGCACAGAGGTTATTAGCCTCTACCTCAAGGGTGCAAATTGAATGGCTGTTAACAGCCCAACGCAGCCAAAACCTGGAACTATCCAAGAACTCCACCTATGCCATTATTAGTCCATTAGTGGAACTCATTAAGAGTTATGCCCAAAACTGCGGAGTTTATTCTTGGAAGCCCAAATTTGGCCCTGCCTATTTTGAGTCGTACATGGGACGCACGTCCCGATTTACCCTGCCCGTCCCTTTTTACCCCATTTGACAGTATATCTATAACTGGAGGGCTGTCTCTTATACACATCTAGATGTGTATAAGAGACAGAGGGTATTGAGTCCTTCTATAATCTGTGGCCAGTGCAGGAGGGCAGAGAGTCCTTCTATAATCTGTGGCCAGTGCAGGAGGGCAGAGAGTCCTTCTATAATCTGTGGCCAGTGCAGGAGGACAGAGAGCCCTCCCCATCACTGCAGTATTGGAGAGCCTCAGCTTCAATTGTTTGCATGGATTGTATAACTTTATAACACGCTGCTTACCGTGAGTCCTTCCTTATTAATCACTGCAGCGTACGTGTTAATCTCCATTCATCGAGGTTAAGACTTAGTTTATTTATTTAACAACGAGTCTAGTCTACTACTAGAGATATTCTTTCCCATACTAACAGAAAACATGCCGATGATTGTCGAGAGAGCGTGACTATATACCCCCTTTACATTTCCTTCACTCCTGGAATCAAATTTTTCCACTAGATGATATAACCCTTTGAGGTTGGTTCAGTAACCGTCTCTAGGGTTTGGGCGGGTTGATCACATCAATACGACCGGCATGTCACGCGGTACCCGATATGTTATCCCGGCAGTGGCGCCACTAAAAGCGCTGGTGCGGGAGCGACACGGCGACTGGGAGCGGCGACTGGCCGGGCCGCTGTCGCTGCGGTGCGCGGAGGTCACCGGAGACACCGAGGCTGACGACTACGACGTCCTCTCCGACTCGCAGGTACCGACGATGCTACCTGATCATCGTGGGTAAGGTCGATCTAATCGCTGAGAGAGTTACACTGGTTGAAAATGGGAGAAATTATGATTAGGATGATTCGTGGTGAGGAAATTGGCTGAGCCGCTAATAAAATGCGTGCAACAGCTGAAAAAACTATGATAAACCTTGATTGAGTTTATGAAACTCTCAACAGTGCCTAATTTTGGCCATCAATAATCAATTTATTTATCTCGTATGTAAAAATGAAACATCTCGGTGCAGTTCAATCAATATCTGTATTTTTTTCAAAGAGGAGATCATTCAACTTGTTATTGTTGATATACAGCTGATCCTGACCACGCCTGAGAAGCTGGACTCGCTGACACGGCGATGGCGGGACAGACGGGCTCCTCTGCTGCACGCCATCTCCCTCCTCCTCATCGACGAGGTCATCAATTCTCGCTAGCTCGGTGTTGATTCTCGCTAGCTCAGTGTTGATTCTCGCTAGCTCAGTGTTGATTCTCGCTAGCTCGGTGTTGATTCTCGCTAGCTCGGTGTTGATTCTCGCTAGCTCGGTGTTGATTCTCGCTAGCTCGGTGTTGATTCTTGCTAGCTCAGTGTTAATTAGCTTGTCTTCCTGAAGTAGCATCACATTTTACTAGCCGTCTCGTAGAGTAAACTGGGGTGTCCGTTAATGTAATTTGATAGGTGATCGTATGGTGGAGGATGCAATACAAAAGAAACTGGGAAGTCGTCACTCAACGTGCTCCTGATGCAGCACTATTAACTATATACATCTTAGAAGATCGCCAGGCAGGATTTCTTCTCTAATAAGCTCACTGAGAAATGAAAACTCTAGATAAAACTTGACCAAAATCTCGTAACAAATTAACGGAATGAGTGTTTTTTCTTCCGTATATCTCCCGCGGACGTAATAACCTGACACGGTTAATATCAGGTGCACGTGCTGAACGACAGCGAACGCGGCCCCACTCTGGAGGCGGTCGTGTCGCGCCTCAAGACCATCCGAGCCACATCCTCCTCATCCAACGACATCCCTGCTCCTGGTATTGTTACACCAGTGCCATAAACTAACATCATTTCTCTACTGGCTATAGAATTTGTGTTTATCAGTGACGGCAAATAATATTTAGTTGTTGAAAACTATTTGACGTTCGCGAGCAGCAGTGTCCATAATCTGTGCCCTCATGGCCGGAATACTTTCCATGAAAAAAAAACCTTCTGAATCTCATTTGAACTGCGTATTACCTATGTATCCAATCTTATTTTTATAGACAATTGCCTGTTAGATCATTTAATTCATGGTAGTATAGTAATGACACTCGTGAACCGTTCATTCTCTTCATCTTCAAGCTCAAGGCGCTTTGCGATCTTTTGATCCATATCTATAGTTTTCTTGATCTCTCTTCTCTCCCCGGCGAGACAGAGAGCCAAGTTAGTTAATGCACGCATAACACGCTTTAACTCTCGCCCTACAAGAAATTAAAAAGTCCTCTTCACATGAGAAGCGAATACACTTCAAGCTAGTAACACGCTTTGGCTTTACCCATTTCACAGTACAAGACGGCACATCAGAAGCAGGCAACTCGCCAGCCGTGCCCCATGAGAGGCCAGCAGCAAGCCTGCGCATCCTGGCCGTGTCAGCGACGGTGCCCAACGCGGAGGACGTCGCGGCCTGGGTCGGAGAAACGCAGCGTCCCGCCAAACACTTCAAGTATGCTCAGCTTTTTTGGAGTCAATGAATTAAATAGAACCAGTGAATAATTTTTATGCTTTCTTTTGTCAACTTGAATTTTTCAAACGAATTTTTCGGTTAAGAAAAAGTAGAAAAAGGTACGCATGAGTTATTTCTTATTTCATTTCGATATGAACATTACCTTGAACCTTTACCCTCGACGACGATCAGTTAGTTCACCTTTTTCTACTGCTCTGCCTTTTCAGAAATTATGCTGTTAAATCGTGTTACTTTCTGACTGCCAGAACACAGGTATTGAAAGTGATTGTAATGTATGGTGCAGGCTGGGGGACGAGCTGCGTCCTGTGCAGCTGCAGCGCGTGGTGCTGGGGTACCCGTGCCCCGAGGCATGGTCCGCCTTCCGCTTCGACATCTCCCTCACCTACAAGCTGCCTAGTGTCGTGGCCACCTACAGCAACGGCAAGCCAACACTCGTGAGTACCTGCCACCAGAGTACCTGCCACCTGCAGCTGCCTGGTGTCGTGGCCACCTACAGCAACGGCAAGCCAACACTCGTGAGTACCTGCCACCTGCAGCTGCCTGGTGGGTCGATGGCACTTCTTGCCTGTGGTCGTTGCCACCTGCAAGGTGGGGCTGTATTTAGCGTTTAAGTTAGTCAGGATATTGTGATGACGACGTGTTCCCTGCGGCAGGTGTTTGTGGCGACCCGCAAGGGAGGGCAGCAGTCAGCGCTGACGCTGGTGCAGCACACGCGTCTCGTCAGGAGCCCTGAGCACAAGACCGCCCTCGCTGCCGCCGCCAACTTCATGCGGGACCATAAGCTTAAAGGTACCACACGCACCACAGACATAGAGGTACTACACGCACCACAGACATAGAGGTACCACACGCACCACATGCTTAAAGGTACCACATGCACCACATGCTTAAAGGTACCACACGCACCACAGGCTTAGAGGTACCACACGCACCACAGGCTTAGAGGTACCACACGCACCACAAGCTTAAAGGTACCACACGCACCACAAGCTTAAAGGAACCACACGCACCACAAGCTTAAAGGTACCACACGCACCACATGCTTAAAGGTACCACATGCACCACAGGCTTAGAGGTACCACACGCACCACATGCTTAAAGGTACCACACGCACCACAGGCTTAGAGGTACCACACGCACCACAAGCTTCAAAGTACCACACGACAAAACAGGCTCAAGGGTATCATGCATACGAAGAGAAAAAGACCGAATAAATATTTCTGTCTCTATAAGTCTTCAATATTGGAGAAACTATATGAGAAATTTCGCAATTTTCAATCATAATTATCAATAACTGTTTTAATTTTATTGAAGAGCCCTGAAGACGATGGCTTCCTCTCCCCCCGGCAGAGTGCGTGCTGCTGGGCGTGGGCTACCACCACGCGGGGGTGGCAGTGGAGGACCGCAAGCTGCTCGAGGAGCTCTTCTCTGCAGGACAACTGCCTGTACTTATAGCCACCAGCACCCTGGGTGAGTCTTGCCTGTACTTATAGCCACCAGCACCCTGGGTGAGTCTTGCCTGTACTAAAGTCTAGTAGCTTCTTCAAACTATCGCCAGTCATGAAAAGATCCGGTCAAATGACACGAGTTTAGATCTATGAACAAGGCACGAAATGGAAAAGAATCGGCGACAGGCCACATCAGGCCTACACTTCAGAGCCGACATCACTATGTTATGTTATGTTATGTTATGTTATGTTAATAAACTTTTCTTCTACACACTGTCAATTTCAGCCAGTCTTTGGTGGCTTATTCGAAATATTATGCCCTGTCATCGAAATTATGCGCTTAAGAGTGACCTTGCTGACATTGATAACCATAACTCCGTGCTTATTCATGTATAGGAATATTAGTGTTACCTATTGCTCAGCTATGGGTGTGAACCTGCCGGCGCACCTGGTGGTGGTGAAGTCGACGTCCCAGTACGGCAGCAGCGGCTACACAGAGTATCCTGCGTCCAGCATCCTACAGATGATCGGTCGTGCCGGCCGTCCTCAATACGACACCCACGCCACGGCTGTTATTATGACCACCAACGCTAATAAGGTAAGTCGTTCTACTTTAATATGACGGCCACGGCGTTATCATGACCACCAAGGGCAATAAGGTAAGACCTTTGCTACTTCATTATGACTCGTTGCAATTTTAACTACGTGTATTACCTATAATATACAGGGTCATCAATATTTAGCGTTACAACTTTGAGTGGTTAGAACTATGAAATGAAACATAATTGTGATTGTTTGAAAATGTATTTATGTGGGCAGAGGTTCAGAGATACAATTCCCACAATTTCATTCAATATGTCCACCATCTGCATCAATAACAAGTTGTAGACGCTTAGAGAAAGCCTTACAAGAGTCACGAATGACACCTGCAGGATTTTGGCCCACTCATTCAGCAGTTTGACCTTTAGGGCGTCCAAACTGCTATGGTGAACGGTCGAGGCCTTGCTCTCAAGGTATGACCAGATCCCAAAATTCAGAGGATTCAGATCGGGTGACGATGGGGGCCATTCATCTTTGGTGATGAAGTGGGGGACATTCTCGGACAGCCACTCCTGAGTCGATTTGGCCTCATGGGATGGTGCAGCGTCCTGCGCTGGAACGACCAGGGACGTTTTTTGAAGTGCTTTCGTGCCCAGGGCAACAATGCACCAACAAGGATGGCATCTCGATAGTTCTTCTGATTCAATTTCACCCCTTTGTCAACAAAAAAGAGGGGACTCCTTGAGTACTCTGTTACGGCTGCTCAGACCATCAATGAGGTCGGGCATTGCTTCCTAATCACCACACCCACAAGGGATCCTTCGTCCCATTCTTCGACCAAATTCGATCATTTTGGGAATTGAAGTGGTGTTCAACATTGAATATCTTCTCATCACTGAAAACGAGGTTTGGCAGCGTGCCATCATGAATGAGGGAAAGAAGAATCTTGGATCTTTGGAGGCGTTTGTCAACAACTTGAGCAGACAGTTGGTGTTTTATGACATGCTTGAATTGGGACAACTTTAGGTCCTTCCGGAAAAAAGTCGACATGGTTCCATACGACACATTTGACTGTTTTGCGAGTTTATTGATTTTGAAAAAACAATGTAACGCTACATATTGATGACCCTGTAATAAATACGAGAACTTAGTGGGAAGCCATTACCAACAGTTGTATTCCTCGCATTAAATGATTGCGCGAATGCATTTTAGCGACTGGTTAAGTGCGCAAAAATATTGCTATTTATCCAAAAGCTTCTCAAGGTCGAGAAATGAACATCTTCAGCTGTGGAAACATGAGAAAGGAAGGGATTCATCCTGTGCCAGGTTCGCGGTGGTTCTGCACCATTAGCGTTTTTAACGCGTCGCAATTACGAGACGACGAAGCAGTTTTTCGGTGCTTGCCCCATGAATGCGTGAGAAATTCCCTTCAAATTCTCATCACTTACTGTTCTTTGCGCCAATCTATCCATCACATGGTTATATCATGTGAACTCGAACTGGGCATTTACATTTTGTAACTGCATTACACTTGCATAATATTTTCTATCTCAATGCAATCTTTTTTTCAAGATCCGAAAAGCGAGACCTACCCTCTTTGAAGAATTTAACCGACTCATTCTCACCACAAACGTAGAAAGGAAATTTCATGTCATAGTATGAATCAAGATTGCCGTAATAAGAGCTTTCAGGAACCAGAACCAGGCTCGAAGATCAGGTCACCCAGCTCGATCTTGAATTGGCATTTCACAAATATGATATCTTACGTTGACTAACCTAACAGCAATGGTGTTGCTTTGGTAATTTCTTCCACAGTAGGATAAACCAAAACTCTGCACTTCCAATGACTCCTAACAAATTTGAATTCAACCACCCGATGAGTCAAACCCATAGGCTGACCACCGATGGTTCTATCTACTCGGCGGACCAAACAATATTTTTTAACATCAAGTTCGAGGGTACGTCACTGTAATAACTTCAATAGTAGTTATTACAAGCGATCTCTCATTGTCTTGGCCCTGAAGGCCCTGTAATTATAAACTCAGGAAGCTCACGGTCTGTTGCCGCTCATCACAAACGTGGAATGGCAGATAAAAACGGCGGCTGCGACTTCATCATACAAGACAATGAATACCTTGTCAAGAAAACTCACGCAATTGAGATCTCATTGTTTAATTAATCGAACTCTATGACAATTCAGCTCTTTTTGTTGATTGCTAGAATTAATAAGATTTAGACCGGAACTTCTCCAGGCACTCCAAGTTTGAGTAAAAAAAAACCTAAATCTCTTCTCCCTTCATTTTTTCAAAACCATTACTATTATTGTTGGGGTCTTGCAATCCCTTACATTATCTTCAATTATATTGTACAAATCTGTCCATGTCAATGACCAATAATTTAAACCTACCGCTTCTGTATGGTTATTTGCATGTCATTATCGTGTGAAATTGTTGTGGTTATAGCGGCTCTCGCACTATCAACAAAAATCATCATGTTAGTGCTGTTTTCACTGCTTATAGTCCTTTAGTTTGAATATGTTCTTCAAAAGATATGGCCATCTCTTGCAGATCCAGTTCCCGTTCTTATTAGTCCAGGATAATCCCCCCATAAAAGTTTTCTTCTACCGTCTCGTTGTCTGCAACTAATTCTTATCATAAGTCAGCGCACTACCTCTGTACGATGATGCAGGTATGTCGTCCGGGCAATATTAGTGGACCAGCAATTTATCGTCGGTACGGGCACCGTCCCCAAGTATTATTATCAATTTATCGTCGGTACGGGCGCTGTCCCCAAGAAGGCGTGTAGTTATTGATGTAGGTGATGGTAGGCACGTAGCCGCTGTCGGCGTCGACGTAGTAGTCGACCCGCCTTAGCCGTCCGTCCGGCAGCCAGACGTAGTGGGACCCCACCACGCGGGCCCCGTCGGTGCCCTCCCGGTGCCCGTAGTAGCTGCCCGACTCTGCGTCGTCCACTTGCCAGTCAAACTTGTACTGAGCAAGCCCACAACAAACATTTATTAACCACACATATTTTGGGGTCTTAATATCAACATTTAAAACCGTTCAGATTATTGAAATTACTAAACTTAGAATGAATTAAAATGAATCAATAATACCCGATTAGTTAATAATGCCTGTGTACCTGATCTAAAAATTTATTTAAAATATAATTGGAAGTTGAAGAGAGATTAGTTTATTCGATGGGAGCAATAAGCAAAATAACACCGTAAAATTTTAAAACTTTTTTCCTAGGTGGTTTAGTTCGCACCAATGAATGAGCTGGCGTCTCCCTTTTAGAACTGATTTTATCTGCATTTTATTTTTTATTTTTCTCGGCATTCCTCACTTCAGATTTCTTTTTTATTATTCGTATCATTTAATACAAATATTCAACCGATGCGAGCTAGGGTGATTGACATTTGCTCAGAGAATTCAGAACATTTATAATGGAATATATCTAAGGCTTACTAATAAATTAACGGTATTATTTGATATATAAAGCAAGGCGTGTCACTTGCATCATAGACGCTAGCCGGGGAACTTACTTCCATGAGCGGCTGAGCGCCTCCTGTGGGGCGGCCTCTGTTGTTATTGTTTTGAGGTGCCGCCGCTGTCATCATCACCATCATGACGGTCACCATCACCACCACTGATCCATACCTTCCTCCCACCATTGTCACTGGTGATCTTCAAAGATAAAATATACTACCATCAATAAAACATGAGTTTACACGCAACAAATACTGCTCTTAAACTCGTCTATCGCATATATAAACGGTATAGCCGTAACTACGATTTGTATGGTTCCATTACCACGTAATAGCTAAGAAACTAAAGAGAGAAAAAAAATTTAACAGCTTACAATTTTGTTCGGTAATACCATTTTGACGTAATTCCTTTTTCATTTGAATGTTTTTGCTTACGATTGAAATTGCTCAGTATGCGTTAACCCTACTGTGGTAGTGTGGATTACATACGTAATCTATGCTTACGAAAATCGAACGGAGCGAAACCGACCTAATATGAGACATATCTGGTTAGTTATTGCACGCGATCACTGTAGGATTTCCAGTTCAAAAAGAGTTATATCCTTACATGTTTTTACAAGTACGAAAAAGGTATTACGAATGGGCATGAAAGCAAGACATATATAAAAAATATAACTCAGTACTCACTGCAGTGAGTGACAGAGAGCGCATTTTCTCGTTGACGAAAACGTGAAATCATGTACGAACAGACAGACGGACAGACGGACATGGCGAGCACAATAGTGCATTTTTTCCATAAATGAGCAAATGCGCTAAAAACTGCAAAAGAGATAAGTTTGTAGCGATCTTGGCCATAGAGAAGACTCAACAGTTATTAACTCACCTCTACAGTTTATCTTCTTTGTAATATCGAAGTGCTCGTATCCACGATACTGAATGTTGCGCTGGCGAGAGCGCGAGTGTGGTTACGCCGGATGCTGTAGCGCAAGTCTGCAGACTTGACAGCAACCCAGCGCTCTTAAATGCATGCACGGCTTCCTGCTGCAGGCGACCTCGTATCGCGGCGCATCAGGAGTTTGTCGTGCTCGATGATCAAGTTTAAACTTTATTTGTTGTTGCCAGTAATTTTTAAGAAGTGCAATTTACTTTGTAGTATTTATCTATTACTTTATATGAAAGTAATGATGTTTAATAACAAACGTTCATATAATTGATCGAGTCCACAGATTTAATCATCAATCATTATTATACAAAATTTGGTAGGTACCATTGCTAAAATTTATGGCGATCGTTTGTCCTGCGATGACTATGTCTTCAATTCAATTCTCGGGTTCCACGCTGGAATGTCCTTAATTATGTTTTTTAGAATTTATTGAATAACAATCCAATGTAAAAATCTTGCCTTTTAGGTAAGCTGTCATCTGAAATTCATGTAGTACGTTGATGAATTAAACGCCCTGTTAGTTTCGGCCTTGATCAACGTTTACGGTCGTTCCTGATAGGTTATTCACATGCCTCCGAAAAGCTATAAGTATATTGGAACATCTAAACTCTTCATCTCGAGCCAACCATCACACAATTGCGATAATTATGCCGGGCTTGATTATGCCATGTAGCTCTTCAACGATGGGATCACGTACGTGTTTAGTACAATGAGCGTATATATGGCTCATTTATACGATGCGCTGTTTTGGGTCATGGACTCATGGGTCACGTGTGTGGCTTCAACATGCCAAAAACTCAACCAGTTCTACGCAAATAAAAAGCTAGAATAATATTATCGAAATAAAACTATCCACTAAAGAAATGCAGTATATGAAGAAAAGCTTTACATCCCGACCTAGCTCAGCAATATAGAGCTTAGTATTAAAATCACTTGGCTGCTTAAGTCGCAAATTTACCAGGAATTTAAAAGTAAAGAAAATAGCCAAAAAGTTCACCATTTATTATAAGAGAAAACGTTTCGGAGTCCAGCTCCATCGTCAGTTCAAAACCTAGAACACAGGTACAAACAATTAGTTACCTAAAATTCACATTCAAACAATTCACCTAAACTTGAGGACATTAGAAGTAAAATCGAAGATAACAGAAATAAAAATGAGATAACGTGTAGAGAAAGTACTATCTATTTACAATTTGTAGAGGATAAGAACTGAATGCAGCATTTAATTTGGGTTTCTGTTTGAAAATAAATAATTATTCTAAAATTCGTAGGTCAGAAACACCGGTTGTGGAGGCTAAAACTCTAAAATCAATATTGGACACCGGGACGTTGCACTGCTCGGCATGAATACGCAAGGCTGAATGAGGGGGATGCGCAAGTATGTTCCCTGTTCTATAACTCCTTCCCCTATGCTCTGCAAGCCTAGTATAAAAATCAGCTTCATTCAGTTAATGCCCAGTTGATATTTATGGTATTAAAGCTCAGTTGATAAACGTAAATAACATGAGGCACTCGTAAGCAACTGGCATGCAACTCGCTGCATGCCGAGCAGTGCAACGTCCCGGTGTCCAATAGTGATTTTGGAGTTTTAGCCTCCACAACCGGTGTTTCTGACCTACGAATTTTAGAATCATTATTTATTTTCAAACAGAAACCCAGTTTAAATGCTGCATTCAGTTCTTATCCTCTACAAATTGTAAATAGATAGTACTTTCTCTTCACGTTATCTCATTTTTATTTCTGTTATCTTCGATTTTAGTTCTAATGTCCTCAAGTTTAGGTGAATTGTTTGAATGTGAATTTAAGGTTACTAATTGTTTGTACCTGTGTTCTAGGTTTTGAACTGACGATGGAGCTGGACTCCGAAACGTTTTCTCTTATAAGAAATGGTGAACTTTTTGGCTATTTTCTTTACTTTTAAATTCCTGGGGAATATAGAGCTTCAGTTGGACAAACAAAATATACTCTATTACGGCTCTATTCGAGCTTAATTATTACAAGTGCGCCCCTGCTTCATTTTTCAATCACTAACGAAGCCAATTTTGGTCCAAAATAGAGAAAAATTATACTTGCCCGGCAACTCAATTATTTGTCTAATAATATGTTTGTTATTGATCATATAACTAGTGTGAAAGTTTGGTCATAAGGGGCCCACATTTCAAGGCCACATCCCGACCTCCGAAATCAAGGGGCACAAAATATAGCGAAAAACATTTAATGACATCGTTGGAGATGAGAATGGTTAGGTAAAAGGTAGGGAAATAAAATAACCGATCGTCGAGTTGAGCCTTTTTAACAAATTAAGGCTATAGAATATTTTGTTAGGGATTTAAGTATCACTCCGATGTATGTTAATGCGTTGCAAAGTAAATAAAAATTATTCGCATATTTTCAACTCAGATACGTCAAGTCGAATCAGGCTGAAAGATGTGAAAGCCAAAGCGTTAATTTGTGCGCATATGTGGAAATGCAAAGAGTTATCTATCTTGTTATCTCTGCTTTTACGGGAAACTTTTCAAAATTGAGCTCCATATTTTTCAATACAATTCTTGGTCTTGTTACGGCAACTGAAATTGCCGTAACAAGACCAAGGTTACAATATTCATGTGGGTATGTTATCTCTAGTTTGTGTCCATTCTACCTAACGTCGATGAAATCCGGTCGTAGATTCATTCAGTTAATGCCCAGTTGATATTTATGGTATTGAAGCTCAGTTGATAAACGTAAATAACATGAGGCCCAAGCAACTGGCATGCAACTCGCTGCAGCGTCACGCCTATCAGTAACACATCTGGCTATCAGATAAGAAAATCTACAGCCTATCAGCATGGCCTCATTGCTGCTATCATGCAGCAATGAGGCCATCCTTTGTGATTCGATGATTACAGCTAACATATTAAAGTGCTATGAAAAACGAAATCAATGCCTAATTTAAAAATCATTAACTTGAGATGAACAACCCATTGAAATCATTTGAATTGTGAAGCTAATAAGCATTTGAATATTGTTTCAAACAACAGATGAGGTTTTAAGTAGATATTTTTTTAACCATTCTGGATACCATTATCACCGAGTCACTGAACGTATTCTATCTATTACGTCAAATAATTCTTTCTGAGAATCTTTCTGATTCAACTCTCTTATTAAAAAGGAGAAGGTTTCATGGCTTACGGAAGCCCTTTACGGCTTACAATTCATTATCAGAAGCGTGAGATTTTTATGTGATCTGATTCTGTAGCAGGACGTAAAACATTTTATTTGGAGGCTGAAGCTAGCAATACCGCCACATCATTCAAGATCAGAAGCGTGCCCCAATAATGCTGTAATATTAGTATAATCGACATCTTCACCCGAAAACACCTTACTTAGTAACGATAGGCGGTTAAGCCCCTATATTATATTCATAGGCAGAATATCTCCATTACAATATAATATGATTGCAAAGAACGCGTACTTAAATATAGCCTGGAGTGTGGCTTTATAAGCACCTATAGCCACGGTGGCGCGATGTAGGTGTTGCTTGTCAGATGTTCTACATGCGCCCGGATTGTCAAGCATTGTGAATTAACGTCCATTCAGTTGAGCACAGTTATTAAAGCACTTGGATCGAATAATGCGATCAGTAAAGGGCAGCCTTTAGGGAGCGGAGTGAGAAAATGCATTCTAATTATATGCAAATTTCAAGGAAACATTCAACTTCAAGCTTTGCATTCAACTTGCTCATGTTCACTGATGGATTAAAACTAATAAAAGCTAAGCACAACATTATATAATGTAAGTGGCTATAAAAGAAAGAACCACTTATTTTTGAACAACGGTGTTAACTTAATGACGAGTAGTGACATTACTTATGAGCTTTGGTATAAAGAAGTTAGTTTAAAAATGAAACTCATCCATCAACGACGGAGAATGGATCATGATTGCGCCAAACAACCACTCTCATTCTCCATGCGATGTTACGGAGAGCAATCACCTTTTCGCATTTCTGTTGTGTTAAGATAAACAAATTAACATGCAACCATGTATCAGAATAGATTTCGCATTCTACTCTCATAATCATTTACAATAATGCTTTGTAATATGTAAATAATTAGTCAATTCAAATGTTAATTTATCATTTATAAGGTAGAAGTTAAATCATTAACGGCTACGTAAAGCATAAGGAGCGGCTACGTAAAAGCGACACCAATTCCTGAATGACAGGTGCTCATACACGAGGTGACCAGTTGCGTCAATTATTTGAGTCGACTCTCCAAATATTTGTGATGATTAACGTCTTCATGCAGACGCGACTAGCTGTTGCATTGCATCCAAAGCACATCAGTACACGGGGCGATATATAAGCACCTTGTGAGCCAGTCGAGACGCGAGTCAGTCAAGTGTGTCATCGCCTCGGCCTTTAGTAATGAGCAGAATTACGTCGCTCTCTCTTTTGCTTGTCTCTTTGTCGCTGTAGTGCACACAACTGTGGCGCTCTCGCATGCTTCCATCATACACACACTCGACAACTCCCAACATCGCACTGGCTGCGGCGGACTGTTACCAAATAAACACTATCCTCATGTTTAGGCTCTCAGACGCCAAAACTGTAGTTGACTCGACTAATCGACGCGACTAATCGCCCCGTGAAGCACCTGCGTATGCGTCTGGGTCAAGTTAAGCTACTCTCGGGTAGGTAACTCAAAGCCTCTGTTAGAAAGTTGTGAAGAAGTTATCCAAACTCTATGAAGCCTGAAAAATGAGCATTGATTCCAAAATATTTCTTACTCTTATTCAAAGATTGAGGACTTCTCAGGCATGATTATCAACCTGAACTGTTTTATAACATTATTTATCTACTCCAGTTCAAGTAATAGATCACATCTAAAAATTGTACTCCGGTACGGCATTTGAAAGAAATTTCAGTCGGTACATGAGTTGTCTCTAATGTAGGTCTGATACCACGGGCTGTTATCACGCACATGTCTAGTAAGAAAGTTCCTCATGTCTTGCCAAGCCTTTTCTTGATTGATAGCATTGTCTCGAGGGTTGCCACCACACCTGAGGTACAGTTTGTTCGGTTCAGGACCTTTGTGATTCTCGCCGCAGTTAGGCCACGGTGTTTGGAAGAGCACTCGCAAAAACGGAAAATACGGTGGCTCTATTATATGCCCTGAACCCTCGTAAACCTTAGTTACATAATTTTCATTGCCAACTTTGTCAAGCCGGGATTTTAAAATGTTTTGCGAAATTACGGCCACAAAGCTGTCGTCGGCGCCGGCGTTGATACTGTAGTAAGTGTCTCTTGGAGTGAGTTCGATGGGTATCCATGATCGTTGATCACTGTAGAATGCCTGCTTTATGTACTCGGGATGGGCCTCCGCAACGAAATTTTCATCAAAAACTAAATGTTGAGATCCTACTGCAAAACCACTCACTAACAAATGCCCATTCTTCTGAATATTGAAGAAGTTTGCAACGGCTGGTGCGTTCAGTAAATACACAGCCTTCACTCGATCAATGTGAATACCCATAAGGCATCCATAAGCACCAGCCATGCAGTTGGCAACGACCCCGCACCTATCAGGAATAACGTTAGGTTGGGACAGCAGAAAATTCACGGCGTGTTCCAAGTGCTCGAAATCGAAGCTGAGACTGGGAAAGACACTCATGTGGGAAAGAATCAGTGAGGCGATTCCTCGCGAGGCGAGCAGTGCTGTTGAGGAAACACCAGTTAAGGACCATTATACACTCATTACAAGCTTGGTAAATTTAATTTTTCCCTATAATTTTTGTGCGAGTTATTTTGTCCCGACTACTATATTTCAAACATGCAAATTTCCAATCAGTTTCTCAATATTTCATTATAAATCCAAATCATGAAAAATAATTGCGCCAAGCAACTGCGTGTGCAGATTGATCATTAAAAATACTTACACGAACGATGTTCGGCCAAGAGAATGGAGCCCCCGAACATGTCAACAACAGCGGGATGAGGACCTGGACCGGCAGGCAGGTAGAGCGCTCCTTTGAGTTGTCCCTCAAGCTCTATGCGCTTCACGCCAGGTCCTCTGAAATGCCGCTCCATATCAACTTCGCAGAGAGGCCTCGTGCAGTTCTCGCTTCTCAGATGTCCTTCATACGCCCCGATGACAATCTGCGTAGAGACATTATTTTCAACCAGACAAAATAAAAACACTTAAAATATATGGGGGTTATCTATTTAATGTACGCAAGCTTAGTAGACGCAGAATGAGGAAGCAATGCCTTAAATACATGCTGACAGAAATTGGTCAGTGGTCACAGATAACCCTAATCGCGTCGGGTGAGCTGGAAAATGCCCTTATTTTCTAATACCAACCGTAAAAAAGAAGCCACAAATCTCACAGCCTTGTCTGTCGAGATACTCTTCAACTGATGTCTATTCTTGGTGTTGGATCAATAATATTTTAGCTATTTTGATCTATAATGATAATTTAGATCATTTAGCAAACCACGTAAAACATTTGCTACCGAGTAAGCGGACTCGCGTGCCGGCAGCGAGCTACGCCCCTGTCGGACAGTGAGTGCCACTCGGACTCGCGATATCAGTGTCCAACGAGCAACGGAGGTGCATGGTATACTCGAGCTTCCCGCTTCGCTGATGCGTCTCATTTCATGCAGTTCTTTCAATGGCGGGCAACGAACTCGCAGACAATGAGATAAAAAAACTATAGGAACAAAGAAACTGAGAGTAACTAGCGATGAAGATGCAGGAGGTGCACCAGTGCTGAAGCTGTACATGCACCAGCGATAAATATGCACATGTTCTCAGGCACACGCACATGTGAATGACTTACAGTCAACACAAGTTCGAGCGGTCGGACCGTCGGAGTTGTCGTACACGGGAATGGCTCTGCTTGAGGACAGAAATTCGGTCCTTCCATTCTCATAATTTTTAAAAAGAGATTCGAGTTCACAATTGTGCATTTGATAGGAAACAATCTATATTAATAACTGGTAAAATATTCGCAGCGTACGTAAAATAGAAGACACCTAAAAAATACTTAAAACGCAGAAATCTTTTGCACCCGAGGTTGTAGCGTGACACGACAACCCGTGGCGATTAGGGTTAATTAACCTGGCAGAATGACCTTTACCGATTCAATCTATTTAGTTTCGTAATATTAAAGTAGACTAATCACGTTTAACTTACTTTCCACGGCTGGTCAGTCTTCACATTTGGGCGCTTGAATTGATATTCTGGTCCGTGATCAAGGGTAGAGATGAGGCCTTCAGGGAAGATTCCTCTGAACGACCCGCCCAGAGATGGAGACGAGCTTACGTCGACGGCACCTCGCTCATTGCACGCGTAATGCGCGTGTGAGGTGAACTGGAAAAATTTGCTAATGTTCATCCGTCATTAGAAATGCACTACTCTGTAAAAAATTCCAAGTGAACTCGTATTGATTTCTATAGGATTCTAGAAGATGGAAAAACGAATCTCAGCATAAAAGTACAGTTCGAGTTTCTGTGAATATCCTCTGTTTATACTTTATACTGATTCTTAAATACGGTAATATTTCATAGTTTGCCCAGAAGTAGAGTCGCAGCCGTATCATTTTGTACTTTTGCGAAAGAAAGACTTTCAATTATTTTCCATGATCTGAGCAAGAATCAAGTGCAAATCTCATTTATTTCTGTCCCAGCTCTGGATGCTTTTCAATTAGAGTGAGATCATTCGTTTCTTATACACATTGCGATTACCTTCAAACCTCGGGAGTCTTCGACGCGCATTTGGAGGGTGACGAGGGCGAACGGCGTCAAGTCAGTAACTCTGATTGAAGTGGGCACGTCCATGAGGCTGATCCGAGGCATGACTTCGATATTTGCCGCATCCCGTGAGCAACTCACACTGAATTCTTTGAAATTAACGCGGATAGGTGCACATAGCCTTGGATGCAAAATTTTCAACCCATGTCCTATAAGGCGGGAAGCGATATCCATATTTCTATATAATCCTTAAAACTGAAAGCAAAACAATTATGATCACGTTGTAACAATGAAAATTGAACGAGTAATGTATGCATATTGTAGCTCGTGGGATGTTAGTATTACCTCAGTCCATGTCTTTATTTCTCTTTAGAATATTTGCAACTGGAACCCTCCCCCACTAGTTTCTTTCAGAAATTCTTTTATATTTACACGAAACAAGATTCTAGTCTCTAGATAACAACCAAGTTTGTTATTGTCGGTAAATTTTGTTCTGATAACTCCTCATGATCTTATCTGAGGAAATATGTTATTCCTTATCGAATGTAAGTTAATCTTTTAGACGTCCGCGAATTTTCTTTCTTGTTTTTATAGACGTATTTTGGATTCGATCGTAGACTTTTTCTTTTTTCACGCCTGTAGACGCCGTCATTGTGATTTTGTGGCAGATGTAAGGCTACAGCGGGTTGTAAAAAGTTAGGTAATTGAGATACAGCAACTACCGAAACCAAATAAATCTGGTATCGAAACCTGCTTCTCATGTTAACGAGAAACCTGTGAGGTATTTGGTAGATATAACACTGTTTCTCTCGAAATTCAGTTATGTGCCACAAAGAGGCGTTCTAAATGAAATCTCATATTTAAATCTACTAAGTAATGTCGCCAAACATCAAATGTAAGGGCTCCTAACCTAAAACATCATCAAATTACTAAGCATATGCACGAGTTCAGGGTCCGATATTTTCGGTTCGCCACAACTCGAGAATTCTGCTTGGTATTTTACTGTCTGAACCTGTTTGCAGTGGTTTAATATTCACTGTGAAACGACATTTACAAGAGCAAATATGTAAAAGTGATGTACTACTGTTTCAATTGATCAGGAAACAAACACATTTTTAGCACGTGAGTATGAAGTCGTTGAGTTAAGGCAGCAGTTGCAGTGAACTATAAAGTCGAGAGAGCGCACTGCACCTCTCACCGGCAGCTTAAACGACACTGCACACTGCAGGGTGACCCTGAGTCTCTGAGTCTGACTGCTGAGTGCTGACTGGTCAGATTCATGACAGCTTGAGCCAGTGCCCGAGTTAATCAGCTGACTGTCTCCCGACTGACTCGAACGTACTAAGTATACGTGATTGATTGCATGTCGTCAATGAAAATGCTCAAATCTAACATTAGATGCACCACTAATTGTCTGGATCAGCCTGCTATCAACTACTTGTAATGAAATATTCGTTATTACTCCATGCTTCAAAAGGAATATTACTCGTGGCGCAATGAATATTGCAAAATATTTTGATGTTGATAAAGTGGTTGAATATTCATTAATGTTAATACCCTATTACGAGTCAGATCATACACTGCGTCTCGTCTATCACTGAGCAATATTTCGTACAGCCTGATTTATGAGTGATTGTCCCGCGAGTCCTATCATAAAATAATTCATGTATGCTAGGTTGGAAAAAGTTTGCAAGCTTAAACATATGTGATGTAAAACAAAGCACGGATAAATATGTAAAACAAAGCACGGATAAATTTATTTTGAATAAGAGTACACAATGACACTCATTCTGATCAAGTCGCTATTGGTTTCATTCAGCTAATGGGCGGAGACCATTTCATTGGCTCCGTCTCTTTTTTATTTAATTCTTATGGCACCTTCGCGTAAATTACGAACCAGCAGGTGTTACGTGTAAAAGCCTATATAGGTGTCAACTTTTTATAGTAATTTTTTTACATTTAATTGCTTTCCACACACGATGCTCATTCACCAGCAGCGCACAATTGAGTTCTTGGGAAATTAAACCGCTTGTTAGCTCACCATGCTAATTTCATTAGGTAGGACAATTATCTATACGCACAGTATTTTTACCATGTAAAGATGTTGTAAATTACCGGTGTCATTTTCCCAATGGTAATGTCCGGAAGACACTTTTATGCGCCTCCAGACTGGAGAAGAATTGGTGACTAAGTTCGTGAGGGATAACTAAGACACCATCTGTCAAGACAACTTATCTTGATACTGGGTGATTATATGTGAGGGACACGATACAGATAAAGGCTAAGACGTCGACCGTTAGGTAAGAGTTGCTCTAACGCTTGTTACATTGCGGGGTGCGTACTTGTCAGCTTCTGCAATAAAATATTTAAATATAGCATAATATACAAGTGCCATCAATCTATATCACATCAAGTGAATATTACGTATCAATTACGGATGATAATATCTAATAATAATGAATATAATGAGACGCAGATTGACACCGGACACCTCCCCACTTTCTAGGAGATCGCCCTCGATCTTCTAGAAAGTGGGAACAAAATCAAGAAAACAAAATCTTCTTGATTTTGTTTTCTTGATTTTATTGTATATTGCAACATAAATCAAGTTATGTTGCAATATACAATATGTTATGTTGCAATATACAATAAGTTATGCAACATAAAATCATTAACATAATTGTATATTGCAAGTGGGCACAATTTATAGTAGCGCAGTTTTTGCAATAAAATAATAATAGCAATGTAATTAAATACAATACATTCTCATAAGACAATTATCAACTCAATGCAAGGTATTCACATCGTTGGGGAGAATGAAAATTGCTATATTTCCCTTCCGATAAAATCAAGAAAACAAAATCTTCTGGAAACAAAATCAAGAAAAAATCTTGTTCAAAACCTCCGGTCAAAATCGGATCTCATACCTTGAAGTCGTAACAGTTGTACAAGTAATTGATTAATATACGAAGATACAGTTCCTTCACATAACAGGACGAAAAACAGGAGGATGTCATTTATAGAAGAAAAGAGCAAATCCATCTCCAATGCATGATAGAAGAAATCTATACTAGGAATCTTGAAAATATTTTGTTGTATTAAACGCTACGTTCTTAGCTAGGCGATACGTTAAACAAAGTCATGAATCATTAAATTCAAACGCCATTAACGAAATCAATGGTTGGTTAAGATTTTAGATTACTCATCTCTCGTTCATTCATTCCCTTTCTCTCTGGAGAAAATTGTTCCTACAATTTCCATAGTAATAATTACACACTGAATACATTAGGTTACAGGGAATGATATTTGAATCCATATCTTCGAATATCATAATAATGAAAGCGTCATAAATCTTTAATTAAGATTATAACACAAAATAATAAGGATAAAAGCGTTCACAGAGTAATGAAAGAAAAATAAATCATTCAATCTTCACCTCTGGAGAAACATTTTATATTAACAATAAAAGTCAGATCCACATACCATCACTCTCGAAATGTCAGATATCATTGATAATGAAGAGTTTAATACAACATTAGGATTGTAGCTTGAATATAATATGTCAAGTTACTTACCTCATCCTCATTAAATATCGGTGGGCTTTAATTAAATAGCAAAGAAAAGAAACGCTCCATAATTTTCAAACAATAAAATCAATATAATATTAGCAGCGGTCTGTTCCACCAATTTTATTACATTGCTAATGCAAATGCTAGTAAAATAACAAACATTTTAACTTGATTGAGTAATTAGCTGCTGTCATCACTTCTAAATTGAAATGCAACTCAAATACCCAAAGTGCAAAACTTCAATCATCGTTTAGCATGTAAACGTTGCAAAATTTGATATAGAATCATTTACTGTCTAATACAGTAAAAATAAAACCGTTTAAAAAAACATTCTGCGTTCATGTAACCAATGACATCAACATGTTAATTTCATAAGTGTTAAATATTATATTTGAGTAGGGAAACGCAGTAATTGTATCAAACCATGTGTCATCAGCAACGCTTAATTCAAATACAATATTTGAAAAAATAACATAACACCTCATAAATATTCAAACATTGTTCGAATTATTGGTGAAATATAGCTATTTAGATGAGCAATTATCTACTTTAATAGTAAAGTTATCACATTTTAACTTCGTTTCGGCACACTTGAATGATGTCAATGACACAAGATTGAATAATCACATCTGCCATGATAATGCTCCAATATTCAATATCTTATGCTGGCAAGTCTCATTAAAATGAACTGCTTGAACCGCATTTAATTCTACGCTGTAGTTTTTGATTATATCCCTAGTTTCATGAAAGATCTCGTTAAATCCCATAGCTGATCGCGGAATGATTTTGCTCACAACGCGATTTTCGAACCCACGTTGCGCAAACTCAGCAAACATTGCTTACCGTCATCGAATTCTGCTACGAGCTTATCGCAAAAAAATTATTTGTGAATTAAATATTATAAATTGCGGTCGAATTATTTAAGTAAATTATGAGATCATTACTCGGCATTAATTATGAGCGATATAAAATAGCCTGAATAATAAAATTTCACACAACGTGATCAAGCATTGAAAAAGTAAATGAAAATCTATCACATTTATCATAATCACAGATACATGTATTTTCAACTCAAAATATTCACCTTCTCCATATTAAATTGCACATAATTGTATATTGCAAATGGACACAATTTATAGTAGCGCAGTTTTTGCAATAAAATAATAATAGCAATGTAACTTTAAATACATTACATTCTCATAAGACAATTATCAACTAAATGCAAGGTATTCAAATCGTTGGGGAGAATGAAAATTCCTATATTTCCCTTCCTTTCAGAAAGAAAAAATAATCTTACAGGCCTCGATTTATCGAGCGTCAGCTTTTTCGGACGTTGAGCTCTTTAATATGCGGCTTATATTTTATCGGTACGTATACTCGACAATACTTTCTCAGAAATATTTGCTGCCTCCTGCTTTCTCAATACTCTGCACGTTATTGTAATAAATGCTATTATTGCGATGATTTATCGTCTTTTGACTCTAGCAGCTTCCGAGTTTTGTTTAACTCCACAAAATAGTGTAAGATGTAAAATTTAATTTATAATGAAGCTTTACTTTGTCATTATTATACATTCATGAGAATTATATTTATATATATATATGGCATTTAGGCGAGTCTTATATATAGATACACAGATCTCTCAGCCTCTGAATTATTTAAATTCAATAGAACATTTCAG